GTGTGTGTGTGTGTGTGTGTGTGTGTGTGTGTGTGTGTGTGTGTGTGTGTGTGTGCGTGTGCGTGTGTGTGTGGGTGTGTGTGTGTTTGCGCGTGCGTGCGTGCGTGCGTGCGTGCGTGCGTGCGTGTTGCTCGCTTCTTCCTCACCAGTGCGACGCACTGTGTTTCGCTCGTTCTCCTCCTCCTCACCCGTACTCTGTCGATGTCTTTTATCGACCTTAGCTAAAATAAAAGCTCGCAAAGCACAAAGATATCCTAGCTAGCAAACAAAGCCATGCTCTCAAGATTTATTGCTAGTATATTGTATTGTTATTCGGTGCGATCTACGAAAAATATCTAATTTATTCATTACACTCAGTTAATTAAACATTTAACCACGGCGGATAAAGTTTATGCATCAAATGTTCACTAAATATCAGACAGTTTCGTGAATATTTATCTCGACCCATTATTTATTGTGTGTGCGCTTACAGGCTATATGAGTTCAGCGTGCTGATTTTCATATGAAGTGCATAGATCGATCCAAATAATGCACACGAAGCTTTTCTCGGCAATAAGGCCCCTCCCCCACCTAATATCGCGCCATAACAATTCCATTATTACAAGCATCACATCAGGCACCATCACGGTGTAGCTCATCTTCAGTACAATCGTGACGCTGCAGCAGTTATTGAAGCAGCAATACAACTACTGTAACATGCATACATGTGTATTCTCGAATGTGTATTCGCATGCCAGCTCCGATGTAAAACACTCTCAGCACACTTTACTATAACGTCTCACTACGCGTACTAGTATCGCATATCCTCTGGATAAAATTAGCAACACTTCATGCTCTATTTTTCATATACAATAATTCCGTAACTATTTTAGGGGTTTCCTCATGCGCTCGGCTATCAAGAAAAACAACTTACTGCAGAGTTCTTCATCCTCCTTCCAAACTCCGTAGACACACAGAAAAATTACTGAGTCCTTGCGGGATTCGAACCCACGACCAACATGACGATAATCATGGAGGTTGCTAACCAAACAGGATCTAATGCAATTTTCACATGTGTCGGATGGAAACAGAGCAAGCGAAGGTCGGGTGTCACATACATCATGAGGGAATGAAAACATATGAAGCACAGAAATAGCCAACATACAGCAACCAAAAACAGCACCGCAGCTTATCGCTAGAACCTCTCAAACTTCATTGGTTTTACATGGTATATATTTCAGCGTATTTCACCGGTCTAAATGTGTTTTGAGACATAAAGCTCTATTCGCACAACCGCTGCCTGTTTAGGATTGTAATTTGTGGTTATATATGCTTTTCGCTTTGGATGCTATTCATCTTGAATGTTTCACACTGTAAAATACTAGCGTAATATCCAACAACATCGCGGAAGTGTGGCGATAGCTTGCAACAATAAATATTACAACAAAACATCAGTATATATACGCCTCTAATCAATGGATTCATAATACTCGTAAACAATATTATTACTACGCACGCACGTATGAATATCATCGCGTATACGAAAATGCCGTGCAGTAAACGCGAGCAGGTTCGTTGAACTAGATACTGGTTGAGTACAAGCACGCACACGTACTAGTGTGTGATCAACATATCATTATCAAATATAGACAAAAAAAGAGAATAATTTGAAGCAACTGCATTGGTAACAAAGAATACGCCTTGCGGTTCAAGTTGGAACTTGATGAAGTAAATCTTTTAAACCAATAAAACCACGTATTTATGCAAGTTATCGTTGGTTATCTACACCTATACTTTGAGGATACAGAGGGTGTAGGTACTTATAGCCTAATAAGAATTAATTCAACATTCGTTGCATTCATTGCGCTTTTTATTTATGTTCAAATTCACTGTTCATAAGTCGAAATAACAGCAGTGTAAACACTCTAAATCAGACGTACGTCGAAATTATGAGCGACGAGATAATATGTATGTCACTGCTGTGACAGCTGTGCTGTAAGCCCTCCTGCAAGAAAGAATTCTCCTGATTCGTCCTGCGGCGAGAGTCTCCGTGTTTTCTTTGTTTGAGCACAACCATTACTGCGAGCGAGGGGTTCTACCAAGAGATCACCAGAATTAGAAACAATTACAATGCATTACAATTAGTGCATGCCTGTTCACGCAGGCAGACGCGCGAACCATTATTTCATAAGCATATAAACTACTTATAGTTTGTCCTCTTGTCTCCATATACCTATATACATACACACCCACTTATCCGGGGATTATCCCGGCTTCCGTACCATTGGGTGGATGAGAGAACGCTCACCACGGAAGGAGCACGGATCTGGCACACATTGTTTAGAATTGTCCTGCTACATCACTGGACAAACAGAAGCAATTATTACATACATAACATAATGTAGGCCTATATATATATATAATTTCTTTAGTTATAGTTATTATCTCACTTCCTTTATTGCATTCACGTCCTAAATCTGTAGCTATACATGTCTATTTATTAGGTCCAATAACTTAATTAAAGTTAATTTCAAGTAGAAAGACATTAATGTGCAATTCAACTCAATGGCCGCATACAGAATTATCGTAACAGAACCAGATATTGTTTCTAATGTCAGCCATTATCTGCGTCGCGCAAAACTGGTTTCAGCCCTAAGTCACTGTTTGTAAACGAAACGTAAGACACGAATTTGGCGGCAACGGCGTTCGATATTTGCAAGGCCCGCAAGTTAACACAGATGTCAAGGTTTTACCTGATCTGTAGCTAGTTCATCATGACACGCTACTGTCATGCTGTCCGGTGCGCTCTTGTTAACTCCTTCATTCCGCGGGTCGCACGATTTCCACCTTTTCGCATCTTCTTCCGGCATCTTTTTCGTTCTCTTACTGTGTGCATGTAGCCGTCACTAGACAGTGAAAAACTGGTTATCCTTGGATGGCTACTTACTATGGTGTAATCGTCCATTGATGACCGTCCGCGAATGGTGTTCTGGCAGTTATAACAACTACGACGACGACGACGACGACGTTGACGCTGGAAGAGTTTCCTCGAGAAAGCCGGAATACTTTACTTAAGTTATAGTGCTAGGCAATTATGCGTTATAACACTGTTATGTTCGGTTAGAAGCTGGAAATTGAACCTCGATATGTGACAAGCGTTGCGTTTATTAGCTCGCATTGGAGAGTCAGCGTGATAACAACGAGACCCGCTTTGCGACAGATTCGCATAGAAGTAAGAGGCTCTTCGTCATTCGCGTATACATTTATACTGACTTTTGCATCTTTGGCGTATTACCAAGGGGGCCATTCGCGCTACGCTTCGAGCAGCGCGTCACGACTGACGTCAATCGCAGCACACACCATAGCAACACTCTGCTGACTTGTGCCTGCGAGAGGAAATCCGATGATCGCTCTGACGTCAGCGTTGCCGCGTGACGTACGCTGACGTAAGCTGTAACCTTTACGAAAATAGAGCGGTCTCGTGCGTGAGTACGTCAGCGGAAGCTCAGGACTATATATACAGCGGCGTTAGGGAGGCGCGAATTTCGCTCATTTACTTTTCGACCTGTACTATATTCACGAAAATACGCATTATTGCGAACCGGGTTTTGTATAGTTATGAAAAGCTGGGAGCGGCAGACGAGAACCACGTACGACAGCGCTGTAGAATTTAATCGAACGACAACGTAGCTGCGTATTATCAGGAGTTAATGAGACAAATGAGACGTTTTGTCTCATTAACTTCTGGTATTATGCATGTAAATCAATTAACAGCTGCGGCACATAGTCTCATAATATAGTGCTAGTGTTAGAGCGTTCGTCGTGCTTATATTCTAAAGGAGTTCAGTGCTATGGAAAACGTAACCTGGCATGGCAACTCGACCAAACAATGGTATATATGTCACGATAGCCACTTAGTAAGCAATCTTTTCTGTATTTCACGTAAGCATCCAGAATTTGGGATAAACGTTTAATTAAGTGTGTTTTATGTGTATATACTAGTTGCGTTGTTTAAGTAAATAATCAATAAGTAAATGTCGTACATGTATTTCCCAATATTCGTATTCGAAGAATGTAGGGTCTACGTGATTTTTATCGTATAGGCATCTATTTGCGCCACCTCAGCACTGCATTTGAAATATATTGCATGGATTCAGTAGCGTAAAAATGGCAAGTAATGAACATTGTAACAGTTGTTATACTTATGTGTCATGAATTGTGGTGGTATACATGCAATCGACAGATATATAGCTTTCTATGCAACTGCTGAAGAGCATACCAGTCAGTAGTAGTACTGTAAGTTAGCTTGATAGTCGCCAGTTTGCTAACTATAGCTAGTTGATATAGTCGTATAGCTAAGCACTGATCTATCTCGCTCATAGCCGGGTGAAAAACCCGTAACGTGGAGATGCTTTGCATTCCTTGCCGACCAATATAAAGGGTGTGGCAGAGACCAATAAAATTTATCACCATCATTTTAGATTGCAGGTGAAAGAGAGTAGAAAATACTTATAGCTTATTTAAACTGAATTTAGTGGAAATATTAAATTGTAAAAAAAAACGCAATTCATGTTTTGTATTAGCATTGCTTATAACTTAGACAATGTATACTAAACTTACTTGTTTATACTTTTGTATCTATTTCTGTATGTAGCCATGCATACCCGGGCCGGCAACAAGGTCTGTTGACGTGCATTTAATTAAATATAACCATGCTGCAAACTAAAGTGCGTACAGTGTGTAGTAACATCTATCACACGTTGATCAACTGTATTCAACATTTAGGATAGATGACCCAGCCATTGTTTTTCTTCAGAATTAAATATGATTATAACGTATAAGTGTGCTCCAGCCATTTCAAGGAGTGTATCAACTGTGACAGCACAATATTTGTATTTGGATAGCCATATTCTAGCTTGCACTGCAATTATGGTTCCCATGTTCTAATTGCGATTATATTGCAGTGAAGGTAACATAATATGCGTAATATATCATGTGGTCTATCGATCGGGTGTCGACTGCTCACTGTACAGCATGGGATGCGATTAGTATAAACTATAGTTGGATATTGATCAACGACATCTTATTGATCATCATGGCGCGTGCTTTACTGAAACCGCCGAGTTCTTAACATGTTTGCTTAATTTGTCGTGCTTCAGCACCACCTAACGCCGAATATAACCGGTTTCCCACGTTTTAATAAAAATTTACCTAAGAGCCAAAACCATAGATTATATATAATACAGATCTGTATTCTATATTCTATGGCCAAAACCACAATGCAAGACATGGCATATATGCGCCATTTTATATGTCATGACATGATTTCATTTTTTATAAGCATAAATAAATATATGCATGTACAGTACATTATGTACTCTTCTGTTTTCTGATAGAAAGCCAACTCACATAAATGAATAAGCATATTTACAGGGGTGAATAATGAACGATTACTTTATTATCATTTACCACTGATATTAAGAGCGCAGCTCAACAATGTTGAGAAAGATAGAAGCAAATTTCAGTTGTAGAGAGTGGCAGTGTAAACAAATATAAAATATACATACCTCGTTACCTCAATTCCAGTGTAAGTAGTAATCAGGATAATGCTGAAGGAATGTAGACACAAGACATATATTAAAATAAATCGTATGCATATTAGTTAACGACCTAAGGTTACATACAGGATGTAGTTATTTAAAACATATTGTAAGTTAATGATTGCACAGTCACACAGGTGCTGTAACTTGTAGTGTTGTTGAGTACAACTTGATGAGGAAAAAAAACACGAGAAAATGAAGGTAATATATGTACAAGCGTGTGTACGAACGCACGCACGCACGCACACCTACATGACGCATAAGATGAGATATGTAAAATCGGTTTACATCCTTTAAATCATTACATCTAGTAGACAAAGATTCAGCACTTTTTGGATTCACCTCACTTTCCAGCATACGATGAAACCAATAATAATTTGGTAGGCTGAACAGACCGCAATGTCTACAACGTTGTTGCATACCCATTCGATTTCATCAGTGAGGTATTCCTAAGCATGGCTGCCCTCATGTAAATAACTTAACAAAACCATTAAAATATTTTTCAAATGGTGGAATAGTTAGAAATGCCATTTCTAAGTTTTTAAACCTGCTAATACTGCAATCAAATAGGGAATAATTTTAGAAAATCGGGTTGCACGAGCAACAGTATGAACACGCGAGAATGCACACGATCACGCATGCATGAATGCACAGATGTATATATTTAATATGAATGTGTGAATTATTAACTCACAAATACAGTAACTGTACTAACGATTCATAGATACATAATATCAGAAGTAGATAATAGGGAAGGAGTGTGACTTCAGTAAACAAGGGAAATTCGTCATTTACTAGCCTTAGAATACCTACGATTTACTACGCGTAACTCAACCAACTCAACAGCAAACCAAATGTATAAACCGCCTAACTTGAAACAAAAAGCAGCTAGGTCAAAGATTAGCTCGCCGAGCGTTGCGTTGATATACAATCTCCCAGCAAGCCACACCGCATCGCCGAGGGTGCAAGAGTCGTTAGTAGCTGCCTTTTGTTTCAAGTTAGGCGGTTTATACATTCAGTTTTCTGGCAACAGAATGGTGAATCGTGTCGTACGTTTTAGTCTGTATCTCCGGATTGCGGGTGTATACAAGGAAACGATTTCACACGATGCTAGGCGAATGTACTGTGTACGATTTGAGCTCAAGTTGGTTGAGTTACATGTAGTAAATCGTAGGTATTCTAAGGCTAGTAAATGGCAAATTTCCCTTGTTTACTGAAGTCACACTCCTTCCCTATTATCTACTTCTGATAATATAAATGCGTGTATATGTACGGAGAGCTATTCCTAATAGTTATTCGCTAATTTACCTTAAAACAGGTCAATGGTTAAATCTATACTTAGGAAGCAATAACACGAAAACTAATAATATTGCAGATCGACTACACAAAGGAAAATCGACACTGCTGACTGACCACGAAGTTAGATACCCTTATCAACAGCATGCACTTATAATCAGGGTAAGATCTACTCATTGATTCAATTTGTCTAGTCGAGTCATTTGGATCGTGCCTAGTCGTAGGCGAAGTCATAGTTGGAAGGGTCGCTTGGCACCGGCGGCGGCTGATCGGGAATCGTGATGCCCTCAGTGTCCAGCAACCTCAACTTGATCTCCATGTTCAGCAGTATGTCAAGGTCCTCCTTCGTCTGCTGGCTCGTCATCTGGTTGCCGAGCAGTGCGTTGACACCATCCGTCCACATGTTGAAAATTTGGTCGGTCGGGGCGACGAAGTTGACGTACTGTGGCTCGGGCCCGTCGAGCACGATCGAGAAAGCGAGGTTCATGATTGTCGTCTTGCTCTTGTTCTTCATGATCGGGCAGTCTCTGCCGGTGACGAGCTGCTTCACATCGACAACGGCAATCTTGTGGTCAAGCTCCTCAAGTGACGGCCGTGCGCTCTCATCGCAGTCACCGTAGTGGAAGTGCTTGTGGTTTGGTGACAGCCTGCAGTACCAGAACTTGTTCTTCTGCCGCTGCCCACGCCCGCTGTACTCGCTGAACAGCGTGCCCTGTGCGAGGAATGAAAGCCGCTGCTGCCGCACGAGCTCTACAATCTCGGGCGTTATCTGCTCACGCAGCTCGAGGATCGGCCGCGCCTGGCTCTCGTCCTCCTCGCGGATGATGCGCTCTTGTTGCCAGAGTGCTGTGATCTCGGCATACGTCAGCTTCGCGATGCGAGCGCGGAACTGGTCGAGGTTGGTCGGCTGCTCTCGTAGTGCGCGCACGATCTGCTCGCGTACGACGCTAAGCACCTTTGCAAAGTCCTCAGCGGTTGCGCGCATCTCCTTCCACGTCTTGTTCAGTGTCTGGATGCAGATACAGAAGAACTCCTCGAAGGCACGCTCCTGCGTGACGAACATCGGGTAGTAGAGGGCGCCCTCATCGCTTGGTGGCTCGCCAACCTTTAGGATGTCGGCACAAAGCATCTTGGTCAGCTCGATGCTGCTCTTCGCGAACGGACACTCATGCTCATCCGCGCGGCATGCGTTCTCGAGCACCACTTTCGTGTAGCCGTCAGTGTGGCTGCACGCAAAGTAGTACATGAGGTCGAGTGCGAGCAAGCCAGGTGGCGTCTCTGTGAAGTCCTCGGCTGGGTTCGAATGGTTCGCGAAGCCAAGCTTCTTGTAGTCCTTTGCGTAGCTGCCCTGTCGGCGGCTCGTCGGCGTGTGAGACGACGGCGCCGTCGCCGCCGCCTCACCCTCGTTGTCAAACGCAATCTTGCGTAGCTCGACGATCTTATCGCGCTCGGCCTGGTCCTGGGCATCCATGCGCCGCGTCACGCGCTCGCTCATCAGGTTGAAGAAGAGCGTCTGCAGCACGTACAGCTGGTGGCCCATCTCGGAGCCGACGGGCCGCGCGCCCTGCAGCACGTTGCTGAGGATCACTCCACGCACGTTCTTCGCCGTCAGCTCGTCGGCGACGCGGCGCTGCCGGCCAGCGCCGTCGGCTTTTGCAAACAGCGCGTTGACGAGCGCAATCGCGTTCAGCTGAATTTCGGCGTTCGGCGACTCGAGGTGTGCGACGAGGTTGGCTAGCGTCACCTCCTGCTCGACGACGAGCCTGTGCGCATCGGAGCCGTTCTGCACGACCGACTCAAGGATCGCGAGCGAGCCCTTGAGGATCGCAGCGTCCTGCTTCGCGCTATGGCCGCCGACGAGCGCGGCGACGCGGCTGATGAAGCGGTGCTCGAGGATGTCCCACGAGACGACGCCGTGGTCCATGAGCTCGACGAACGTCTGCAGCACGTAGGCGAGCGCCTCGCCCGACGAGCGGTCCTCCTCGACAAAGCTGATGAGCAGCGCGAGGCCCTGCTTGTTGATGAAGTCGAGCGCAAATGTGAAGTCGGATGCGAGGCCCTGCAGCTGCTGCAGCGCCTCCTTGCGCTTGGCGGCCGCGTTGCTCTGCAGCGTCTCGATGAGCTTCTCGGCGGTGCGCGCCGCCGACAAAATCAGCCGCAGCACCTGCCCGTTTTTCAGCTCGCTGCGGTTCTTCTCGGTGATGTAGATCTTGTTGTTGTCTGCTTCGTACTTGAGGCTGTACGACTCCGGGTCGGGAAGGTTCCACTGCTTAAACGCGCAGATGTCCTGGATAATGGCAATGAGCGGCTTCTCCTGGTCGAACTCGATGAGCTGCGGTATCTTCTCGTCGTACAGAACGGCGAGCTTCACGAGGTTCTTGTTGACCGGTATCTGACTCGTGCGCAGCATGATAGACTTGTAGTCACTCATCGTTACGGTGGCACAGATAGTTAGAACGATATCTTCAGTGTTCTCAGGGTTGTCTGGCAGATCTTTTCGTCAGCGGCGGGTAGTTCCGATAGGGGCGCAAAAACCTCTAATGCATCTCTTTGTGATCTTGGCAATGACACATCCTAAACGTGCTCGCCAAGAGTCTACACGCTGCAAGAGAAATGAAAGTGTCAATGACACTGTAGCTCACCACAAAAAATGACACAAATGAGTGAGTGAGATGAAAGTCTGAGATGTGGGCGAGTGATGGCGTTACACCTAAATGATCGCCATTTAACGTTTTTATAATATTCAGATTTAGGCACTGCCTAAAAGCGGAGCTCCCGATGTGTAACGTGTAAGATTTAGAGGATACGCTTATTCCACGTAGCTGCTATATACCACGTGACAATGGTGTTTCCCTGCCCATAACACAACTTTTGTCAAAGGTTAATTGGTTGCATGGAAGTGTTTACTTCGTATGAGTTTTTCTAGGCGGTAGCACACGGTTGCCATCTGTATATCGCAATAATAGTTTATAAACCAAAATGAATCACAATTTGTGACGGTAGATGGCGCTATACCCGCTTTGATGTTTCTTAGCGACGATGTCAAGGTGAGCTAAAAAAGTACACAAATGAGCGAGTGCCAACAAGTCATTTTTAATTCAGCAACTATCCACCTACATATATAAAATGAAAGTGTCAATGACACTGTAGCTCACCACAACAAGTGCCGCAGAGCGACAGCGCTCACCTGACGGCAGGTGTTCTGATGCTAAACTCACTGGCAAACGAATGAGGAGGCACCCTCCCATCACCACGTTCGCGCTCAGAGCATATATATAGGATACTACTAATACAGATCTAAAATGTATGATAGCTAGGCTTTGCCTATACAGTGTACGAGTAATAAAGATACAGCTGTGTAACTTTAATGACCTCGCTATATTAA